CCAGGGCAGGAGGGGGTGTCTGGCTGGGATCTCGGCCCTGGGCTGTGTTACAGCTCGGGTTTCTCCTTCAGATCAGCAATATCTTTGCACGGGGGCGAAGGCACAGGCCAAGTGGAGGATGGGGCACGGTGCATTGCCCTTGCCAGAGCTGCTGCTTTGTGCTCCTGTGGCTGCAAACGCACCTCAGGCTCACACCAAAAACGCGGGTCTCAAGTGGGGAGATGCAACCGGAGGTGATTGGAGGAAACGAGTAAAAACCTCCCAGGTTTGGACCCTGATATTACAAAATGCTGGGGGAGGGCCTGGCTTGCTACCCTCCTCCCTAAATTTGTACCTCTCCGGGGCAGGATTTGGCCAAGGGTGGCTGATGCACTTTGTCAGGGAGGCACTGTGGAAGCAGGGTGAAGAGACGAGACCCACTCAGGCGTGGGAGCTTTTTCTCTGCCCTGATCAATCTTTTTCCCCTGCTTCTGACCTGGCCCATCATCAGTTTCCCGAGGAGGTTTACTCCGAGGAGTTTGTGTTACCAGTTTGCTGTACAGAAAGCCAGTCCTGAGGATGAAAAGCCCCGAAAGAACAAAGCTCCTGCCTGCAGCTCTCCTTAGACCTGCTCCAGGCTGGTGTGGGAGCCCCAACCCCGTCTGCTCAGCCCCTGGGTACTCAGCACCGTGTAGATCTGCTCCGGGAAAGAGGCTGAGCCCAGCAACATGGGCCGGGGAGCAGAGCAGAGGTGATTTATGTTCACACTGGATGCAGAGCTACCCGCTAGCAACGCAGCTTTGCAAGGTGAAACGTGCAGTGAAACTGCCCAGGGAGAAGGCAAATGGGTGCTGTTGGGACATTTTCCAGGCAGAGATGATGGTCAGGGATGAACTCGCTTTCCGAGATCACGTAGTCACGGACGTCACGCTGCATCTGCATCATTCCCACCTCTACCATAGATGATTCAGCATCTCTGTCCCCAGCAGACGATGGCAGGTCCCACCTGGGTGATGTCCCCTGGTGATGCTGGTGTTCAGGGGGCTGGAGTGTACGTGGCATCAGCTTCCAAGGTAGCAGGGAAGGGATGGAAGGTCAGGAGATCTCCTCTTCATCTTCCCCATAGTGGGGTGCTTCTTCCAATGCTACTGAAACGCTCCAGACGTCATCAACGTGAGACAGGCAGGACCTCGCTGCCCATGTGGGGTTAAAGTTCAGCAAAACATGCTGGGAGACCGGTGACAGATGAAAGGAGCGATGGGAAGGGAGCTGCCTTAACTGGAGACGCTTTCTCACGTGTCCAAGCCGCCAGGCAATGCTCCGCGCTGGCGTGGTGACGTGCTGCCTCTGCTGGGTTTCTGCAGGGCCATGCCCAGGCAGACAAGGGGTTGTGGCTGACGCTTTAACTCGCCTCCAAGTGCAGAAGGGCAGCAGGCAGCTCGAATTCACCCAGCTCAGCATCTGCAGCATGGATTCCACTTGCAGTCTTGCAAAAGCCTTATAAATTTTTTAGAGCAGCCCAAAGTGCCTGCTGAGTCGGCCAACCAGCTCCGGTGGATTAAGGAAACTTACTTTAAATTATTAACAGCACACAGCCAGGCACGAGGCCCGTGGGGTAGAGGTGGGAAAGGAGAAGTTACTCATTCCTCCTTCTCCAGTGGGTGCTCCAAGAGCAGCCAGCACCAGGCTGGGGATGGGCAGAGGTGTCCACTGATGCTTGGGACCCCACGCGTGGGGTCTTCCCCTCTCCATCAGGCAACCGCAGCGAGGCAGCAGTGCTGTACGCAGGGTGTTCTTGCGTGGTGGAGATGGTGTCCCTCTTGGGAAAAGGATGCTGGTCCACACCCAGCCCCCTCACACCTCCCTCTCCTTCCCTCTTCTCCCAGCTCCATCCGTTTCTCAAACAACCTCCTGAAGAGCTGATCCACAGCAGTACAGGAGAGCCAGCCCTGATGATTGTTTGACTTTCCTACAACCTCTAGTAATTTTCTCCCCTCGAGCTTTAAATTTCAGGCAATACAATCACATTTGCAAACTCTGGTCCCCAAAGAAATGACAATAAGCACTTTACAGCTCCTGAGGCTGTACCTTTTGCTTTGCTATGGATGCGCTGCCTGCCAGGGCCAAGCTTTGCAGAGGTGAGACTTGGGGCTGAATTTCCTCTCCTTGGCAGCTGCTCCAGGAGGATTTTGTCCCTCTATCCACGAGATGGCATCGCTGAGACTGTCACGGAGGAGAACAAGCCACCGCGACGCCCACAGGGAGGACAGTGATGAAAAATTACTCCGAAAAAAAAAAAAAAAAGGTGCTAGGAAAAAATGCCTCTGAGTTCTCAGCTGTGAGGTCCCAGCTTACCTGGCCGTGGCAGGGAGGAATCGGGGGAGAAGTCAGTGTTTTAAAACGCATCTCACCAGCACAGCCCTATATACCACCTGCCAACGGGCCACGCAACACCCACCTGCTTTCACAGGGTGCTGATGGCTCTCCGATCGACTTGAGTTCGCTCTAGGGTTTGCCAAAAGCCATCTGTGGCCCAGTTCAGGGTTATCTTCGGTTGCTTACAATTTTGGTAGCACCCCAAAATGGGTCACGCACCCCATTGTTCCCAGAGTGCCTCTGAGCCTGGCAGGGTCAGACAACAACTTGCACATGGCAGGTCATTGATCGGGTCCCAAAACCCAGATCCACAATGAGCCTTCAGACCCAAGGTTTGGGTAGAGGCAGGTCATGGCTTCACTTGGTTTTGATTTGAGGTTCCCCAGAAATTCAGCATACTTGATTTTATTTTTTTTTTCCTGAACCTTATGCTTTGAGGTGGAGCTAAATTAGACCATTTCTGTTTATTCTGGCTCCCTACAGAGCCTGACCCAAACCTCCCAAAATGGGGGAATGCTGCAGCTGCGGGCATCGCACTTCAGGCCCTGCCTCTTCTTTCTGACCCTGCAGATCACCTGGGGTACCAACAGCACTGAAATCAGGCTGAAAATTTGGACCTGCTGTGAGCCATGAGCAAGTTTGAGTTAAATCCTCTGGGGTTTATATTTTTCCTTTTCTGCAGCTATGCTGTTAATTACCACACCGCTTGTGCATCGCTCCCAGAGCATCTTTCACAGCTCCCCTGGCAGATTTCTATGGAAACGTAGCTGTGGTTTTGTCAAACTTGTTTTTTGCTTTTAAAATAGCTGTAGAGGACCAGGTGCAGACTTCACGCTTGCTCGTCTCTGTCCCTCACCTGACCCCAGGGTTGTCACCACTCCTGCTGTGCCAGGGACTGGCTTCCATTGGGGATTGGATTGCTGGAAGTTCCTGGACAGCATGGGAGGGATGTTCCCACAGGAATTCCTGTTCCTGCTGCTTTGAAGGATAGAGTTAAAACATGCACATGATGATGTTCTCCTGCCCTGCTTGGAAATACCCAGGAAGGGGCACAAGTCTGCTGTGCTGGCTCAAGGACACGTGTCTCAGAAGCTGGGAAATGCAGGAGGAGCTGGGAGATGAGATTAAACCATCAGTGGGAAAACAGCCTTCTCCTGCGGTTGTGCCGCACCTGGGGGGATCCCCAGGTCCCTTTCCAATTTGTGGCTTGCTGAGAGAACCCAAATGCTGCAAAGACTTTGGGCATCAAATCAGTTTCTAAAGACGAAGCTGGTGGCTGCTGGGGGGGGTGTGTGTGAAGAGGGGCGAGGAGCCTCGGCGGCCTGTGCCCACCGTTTCGGGGAACGTGGCTCGGTGAGCCGGGACGTGTCCATCTGCTGTCAGACACTGGCACAGGGGTTGGGGACGGTGTTGGGGGAGCAGGTGGTGGCTTCATGCTGTGCCCTCTGTAATTTAGCCTGGCGTCAGCTCCTTGAGGTTCTGCCTGGGGGCACTTAGTGCTGTGGAGCGTTAGATATTAATTAGGATCATTAAGGACTCCTGCAATACCAACAGTAATGACATTTGTGCCTCTGAGCTCTGCTGGGAAGGACCTCGCATGATGCCCATGTACAGCGTCTGCTCCTGGCACCGCGGCTTCTCCTAAAAGCTGAGTCATGAGCAGAGACAACCTCAGGATGCCCAGCACGCCGCTAACACCTCCTTCAGGGAGGAAAAATCCCTTCAAAATGTCCCCAGAGCGCTGTGGCGGGGTGGGAGCCGCACCCTCACGCCTCCTCCCTCCATCTCCCTGCCCCATCATACCACCTCCCTCTCCTCCTCGCACTCTGTGCTCCCACCCTTTCCCCCTCAGAGCTCCTGGCTGTGGCGTTTTGGTCAGTCCTAGCCACTCGGCAACCACAACCCTTTGGACTGGGGCAGCTGCTACTGGGTGGGGTGGGGAGAGGCACACGCCTCGCCCCGGGCTGTGAGCTTGCACTGGGAACCAAGAGACCATCCTGAGTGAAGTTCATGAGTTTTGGGGCTTCTTGGGAGTGCTGAGTCATGTCTGGGCTCCAGCACATGGCTTCGACTGGGCAGAAACGTTCCTGTCATGCTGTTTGGAAAGGGCTGGGGGATCCGCTGGGAAAAGGCAGCTTTGGCCACTTCTCCCCAAATGATGGGGTATTATAAAGAGTAAAAGTGATGCTGCTAACCCTTCCAGGAGGCATAGGGTGTGCTATTTTATTTCTTTAAATGGCATAACTTTAGCAGGTTAACCTAAGCTTATTTTGCGTGGAAAAAAAAAATGACAGTAAAGGGTTGAGCAGGTGAGGGAGAATATAAAACCCCAGGCTGCTGTAAGAGCAGCCCCTGCTTTAGGCTGAGGGAATCAAACCAGACACCTGCATCAGTCGAGGGGCGAGATCTGGGGAAGGGCTGGGTGCTGGGTGACACCCTGAATATGGGTGCCAAGCTCTCCTCCTTCCTCTAAATTTCCATCCCAGCCCTGCTTGTGCCTGTCCCCACCCTCCTCTCTAAGTGGGGCTACACAAAACCCACCAAACGCAGCCCCTCTCAATGACAGACACACACACACAGAGCTCCACGCTTTTTGGGTTGGTTGGTTTGTTTTGATTTTTTTTTTTTTGTAGTTTTTGTTGGGGTTGTTTGTTTTGGTTTTGTTTTTTGTTTTTTTTTTTTCCACTGTGGATGTTGTACCAGTTTTATTGGTAAAATTAACATGAAGCCTCACAAACGCTGGAACATGCTTTTCCTTTTAAAGAATTTCCACTGGACCTTAATGGTGAGCATCCAGTCGTTGACATATAAACTCTTACAAGCTGATGTGCACACATGCGCCCGGGGGAGACGGTGGCAGCGTCCTGGTGTCAGGGATGGTTTCTGCGCGATGCACTGGGAGCCCACGATTCATTTGCCAGCCTTCTGGGCCTTCTGGGCAGACTTGGTGACTTTACCGGCCCCACCGCTTTTCTTCTCCACGTTCTTGATGACGCCCACGGCCACGGTCTGTCGCATGTCACGGACAGCGAAGCGGCCTGGGGGAGGGAGAGGGGGAGGATGTGGGTGAAACGCGGCCGCTTTGCCATCCCTGAGGCTGAGCTATTTGGGTGGGTGCCGGTGGGATCTACACCCGCCACTCGTGGTACCGTGTCTTACCCCTGTACTCGGAGCAGGTTCCTGCAGGAACAAGCCCTGAGCCATCGACCCTTGCTCTGACCACCCAGCTGGCCCTGATGCTCCTCTCTCTTTTTTTTTTTTTAAATTATTTATTAATATAGTAATAAAATAATTAATTTATTAATAAATAATAACGTTTATTTTTATTAAAATTCAATCACACCTGCTCTCCGCAAGCTGTTGGCATTGCTAAAGCTTCCAGATGTGCAACATCATCCAAGGGAAGCATGGCACTTCCCTGCATTAAAAGCTGAGCTCTGTTGAGCAAACTTCCCTCTTTTTTCCCCTGATCAGTCGTGGTTTAGGGGGAGCTGAAAAATCTTTCTGCATTCAGAAACTACCAGGGTTTAGTGACCTTGAAGGAAAGGTCCTGTTGCTCCCAGAGGGAAAACCCAGCCCTGCCTTTGGAAACCCAGCTCAGCCGAGAGCCCGGCCCACCCCACCAGCCCTAATGTCGTTCATGCACCAGTTTTGCAGACCCAGCACACGGCGGAGCAATAAAAAGTCCTCAGCTCCCTCTCCAGTCTAACTGGTGGGGGGTACTGGGAGAGGCTCAGCACGGCTGGCGTGAGCTCTGTGGGTTCTAACTGGTGGGGGGTACTGGGAGAGGCTCAGCATGGCTGGCGTGAGCTCTACACCCACAGAGCCTTCACGCTCCTCCGCAGGAGATCTCCAAAGAGCCGTTCCCTTACCAAGGGGTGGGTACTGGGAGAAGCTCTCCACACACATCGGCTTGCCAGGGATCATCTCCACGATGGCTGCGTCGCCCGATTTCAGGGACTTGGGGTTGTCCTCCAGCTTCTTGCCGGAGCGCCGGTCAATCTTCTCCTTCAGCTCGGCGAACTTGCAGGCGATGTGTGCGGTGTGGCAGTCGATGACGGGCGAGTAGCCGGCGCTGATCTGGCCGGGGTGGTTCAGGATGATCACCTGGGGGACAGAGCGATGTCAGGGCAAGGCTGGGAGCCAGCGGACAGTGGCAAACCGTGTCTGGGGGCACCACTAGCTCTGCTGACCTGAGACGTGAACTGCGCCGCCTCCTGCGGCGGGTCCGACTTGCTGTCCCCGCAGACGTTCCCACGGCGGATGTCCTTGACGGAGACGTTCTTCACGTTGAAGCCGACGTTGTCCCCAGGCAGAGCCTCGCTCAGGGCCTCGTGGTGCATCTCCACGGACTTCACCTCAGTGGTGATGTTCACGGGTGCAAAGGTGACCACCATGCCAGGCCGCAGGATGCCAGTCTCCACCCGGCCCACGGGGACGGTGCCGATCCCTGTGGAGACAAGGACAGAGCAGAGCAAAATGTAACCTGCTTGGTATATCCCAGAGCCTGGATGCAGCAGAATCAAGGTATTTCCAGTGGGTTTGGTATTTCCAAAGACCACACTTGCTTCTTGACCAAAAAATCCCCAGTTTTTAGCTGCAAGTTCAATACTAGGGTCTTCAAAAATACCATGAGTCCATCCTTTATATGTGATGTTTTGCAAAAATGGAGTAGCACCATCATCAGAAGGCCCTGAGCAACCCACGTGCTCTGAAAGCTCTTCCCTTGTAGCAGCTCTGGCATGTCGTGCATGGAGGACTGGGCACATCACAGCTCCGCATCCCTGACGGCCACACCATCAGCATGGGACAAGGCCCAGCTGTGCCAGGGAATGAGGCTGGTAAATTAAACGAAGGTGACCTTTTACACCCTGTGTCATCAGGAGACTTTGGGAAAACTCACCTTTGGAGTTGGGTGAAGAATCATTAAGAGAAACAACCTTGAAAAGAGGTCAGGGAAGCTGGCCGGGCCCATATGCTCCTCCACACCCACTCTGTTTCTTCTGCCTCCCCCTTTCCCACGGTGTTTTTGCTCTCTAAGGACCTGCCTAATGGTAAAACCATATCTGCCTTTCCCGGAGCTGAGCTAAGGAAGGACACAGACCTGCTCGCTGTCTTCCACCTCCATTGCAAACAAAAGACTGAGCTAAAAATCCTGCTAAAACCCGTGTTCAATCCCTGCCTGGTTTCTGCAGCACACGTGTCCTTGGAAAAGGGCTGGAAATGGCTGTGCCCGCCTGATACAGCAGCCGGGGAGTCAGCAGGGCTGCCCACTGCTGCCAGCAGGTCAGAGAGCTCACAGGGTATTTATAGCTCGGAAAAGTGTCCCCGTCCCCACTCCAGGGGGGTGGTCTGGCATCCGGCCGATGCGCTCCCTACATGGCTGGCGCCGCGGTCCAGCTCAGCGGCCGGAGGTGCTGGTGATGGACACCAGCATTTGGGAAGCACGGGCAGACCGTGGCCAAGCCACCCTGCACCAGCCTCACCAGTGGCCCTCCCCGCTGTCTTTGTCCCTCACCAGTGCCCCAGCACGTTATTGCTGCCTCCCTCTTGCCCTGCCAGCCGTCACCTGTGGGACACCCAAATTTGTAGCCGTTTTGGCAACGCATGTTCCCTGGGGAGAGCTCACAAACCTGCTGCCCCTCCCCAGTCCCTGGGCACCTTTGGGCATGTCTACCTCTGTCCCAAACACCCCAGTCTCAAACGGGGTCTTTGCCCTGGAGCTACCACCCCTCTCCCCAGCATTATCTTGAGTTTGAAGAGTCCAACCCCTCCAGTTTCCCAATACCTGGAAATGTCATTCCTAAATTCCCCTGGAACAAAGACTCCAGTTAAAGCAGAGGGAAGAGGGGACAGTGGCAAGGCTTTTGCTCACCTCCAATCTTGTAGACATCCTGGAGGGGCAGGCGCAGGGGTTTATCTGTGGGGCGGGTCGGGGGCAGGATGGTGTCCAGGGCCTCCAAGAGGGACACCCCACTGGCGTTGCCTTCCTTGCGCTCCACCTTCCAGCCTTTGAACCAAGGCATCTGGAAACAGAGCAGCAACAACACGTCCTGAGTATTGCTGTCCTCGGCACCCAGAGGCGATCCCAGAGAGACGTCCCACCAGGACAACCGTCACGGAGTCAGGCCAGCCACGTCCTGGCTTTACCTGGGGAGCTCCTTCCACTTCACCATCCCTGAAGGCTTATCTGCACTCCCTTGCTTAATCTCCCCCCTCTCTAGAAACATGCAAAAACATCCATTAACTGGCAAAAAAATGTTGGAAGTGGTTAAAACCAGCAAACTCACAGCCCCCGTTGCCAACACCAACCCATGGGCGCTGCACCAGCTGCCTGGATCCTGCTCCGCAGCAACAACGGCTTCAGCACAAGGACCACAGGGTCTCCAGCCACAAAGCCCCAGCTACAAAGCACCCAACCTTCAGTCCTGGGAACCAAGTTTCTTCAAGGTGATCCCCAGACAGAAGTTTCTCCCTGTTCATTCTTGCTATCACCTCTCCAGGGCTTAGATTTTAAACACTGGCTTGAGAGGATGCTGGGAACTTTGCACTTGCACTAGGGCTGCTAAGGGGCAGGATCATTTTTCACAGATGCTCTCTGCTCCTGCTCCGAATTGGACCCTTGAAGCTAAAACCGGCCAGAAAAGAGGCAGAAAGGTAGGGAAATGTCCTCAGCAGAGGCCATGATTTGAGAGGAGGAACTGTAGTGCTTTTTTTGGGGTAATGCTGCATGTCTGGAAGCTGTAGCAACACCTGGGGCTTGCCAGCAAGAAAAATTCAGTCCTGAGTCTGAAACAGCCCAGATACAACAAACAGAGATCAGAGCCTGCAAGGTCATTCCCCCTTCCTCTGCATGGAGAGGTTTAGACAACATTTTTCCACTGAGGTGTAAAACACTGTCCATGTGCCCCGGCTCCATCACACACGTTACGGACATGGCTTTTCCCTTGGGCACCAACACCAGTGGCAAAGTGCACTGGGTGTGGGGCTGGGGCTAGAGGTGAAACAGGACCCCCAGAGTGCCCCCAGGTTCACAGCCATCCCTGGAGGACACAGCTACGCCCAAGGCTGGTTTCCCATCCTGAAATCTGCACTGCTTTTGGGAAGGAGAAAGGGAAAGGAGCGGGGTCCAGCCAGGGAATTCAGCCTGCATCGAACGTATCGAGGTCAGCCCCCTTTGGAGGGCCACGTCTGACACCAGTTGTCTTCCGTGGTGGCAGTGGGAGGAGGAGCCTGGGGACACTTGTGCAGAGGGATCCTTCCCAGGGCACTGCAGCTATTGCTACACAGCTGGCCCCAGCGCCGGGCTGACAGCTTGGTGAAATGATAAATCCATCCAGGCGGTGACAGAGCCGCATGTGATGCGCAGGATGACTCAGACCTTCCCTCCAGCCCAAAACACCGGGCGGGCGCCTGTGTGAGCAGCTGCCCCGGCAGCCGCCTGCCCACGGGCTTTGCTCTCGAGGGGAACAGCCACCCCCTGTGCCCGCAGCTCCATCCCTCTGCCCCTGCGTGGCTTAGGGACAGGGAGAAACGGCAACCTCTGCCCCGTGAGGCCTGGCTGTCAGAGCTGTCCCTTTTCCTTTCAATGCTTTCTCCAGAAAACTTCTGACATCCCAAGAATCAGATCAGGATGAACTCTGGCACCTTCTGGGAGCAAATCCACTCAGCAAAACCTCAGCATGGCCCCAGGGTGAGAAGCATCTCCAAGTGCTGCCTCCTAGGGCCACCCAAGCGAAACCTTTCTTATGTAGTCCCCAAATCTGCTTCCCAAAGAGCAATTCCTATCCCACCACCCCTATGGCAAAAGCAGGATCTGACTAAACCCTGCTGCCAGACAAACTGCAGGCTTAAGCCCCCATAAAGAAGCAGCTAAGACCCAACTCCTTTGCACCCCCAAGTGCCTTTTACAGAGCGGTCACCTTTCTCTGATTTCACCCCCACCCCGTGAGCATCCCAACGCACCCACCCCAACACTGAGGCTAGAGCCCCAGCCCACCACGCTCCCTTACACCACAGACGGGGTGTATTTGGGTTGCAGCATCCCACAGGGTGAAAGTTTCCCAAACCACATCGAATGGCCCAGTTCCGTTGGCTTGCTCCGCAGCAAACCCCATTCACCAAAAATCTCTCAAATGTCAAACTTTGATGCAAGAGCAGCCCTGACGTCATTTTTTGCAGTTGGCCTTGGGCTGCTGTGCCGCAGGGACGTGGGCTGGAGTCTCCCACGCAGAGCTGGCTCCAGCCTGACGTACCACCCCACCTCCCCTTGCCCGGAGGTGACAGGAGCTGCAGGGAGGTCACAGCCCTAATCCCCACTTTCTGCTGAGTCCCCTGACAGACAGTCACTTGACCACCGTGTTCTTCAGTGAAAACCTGCCAGAAATTGTGAGTGAAAAAAATCAGAGCTTTTTTGGGTGAGGAACGAGAGGAGATAGCTACACCAGCTTCCTGCTTGAGCTTTCCTAGATGGGGAGAAATATGAGGAAGGGGAGTCTGTCCAAATCTGGTGTCCTGGCAATGGCAGGATGGGCACCTCCTGGGGACCACGGCATGGGGAGGACCCTGCACCTTCTCCAGCAAAGCTCAGGCTGATCCAGACCTCCGTCCAGGCTTCCTTCACAATTTCCCAGCTCAGGCAGCTCCTGGGAACCCACCCAGGAGCCAGCTGCCTCTTTACAGCAGAGGGGCGAGTTATTTCAGCCCCTGCCTTCTCTTGGGCAGCGCATGACACTGAGAGCAAGCTCTGAGACCCATCTAGAGGAAGCGGACCAGCGAGCCCCATCCTGCTCTGTGCCTCCCCTCTACAGCCTATTAATAGGAGAATTGTTCAGGATCATCTTCCCAGCCCAGCAGCTGCTGACATTTGGAGCCTGCCTGATTTGAGGCACCCAGGAACTATGTGGCTGGGTTTGGCATGGCCGTAGCTGACCTTTATCCCAGCTCTGTTCCACAAGGGACAGGAATCTTCCAGGCACCTTAAAAATTCCTTCCTTCCAAGTCAGACCCAAGTAAGCTGCCCTTCCCGTGCTGTAAGCTGTGTTTCAGATGGAGTGAGCTGCATCGCAGCACTCCTCAGGCTCAGGTTCATGACCTCCCTCAATTGCTGTTAGACCCATACGCTGCCTCCCTTGTCATAGAGCCATGACCTGTAATCCACAGGTGAAGTCCTAAATCCCCCATAAGCATCAAATTTCCCATTGGTTTCACAAGAGATTGCTGGGGGTTTCTGGTCTGAGCAACTTGCTCAAGGTCACCCAGAAGCCAGAGGGAGAGCAGGGACCTTCCTCTGGCCAGAACTTTCCAGCCCATCATTTCTTTAGAAGATTAAGCTGGAGTAGCTTTTTCTCAAAAAAAACCCTCCAGCGTTAGAGTAACATCTGTTATTGGAGCCTGTCTGCCAAGAAGCCCCTGTCCTTCTTCAAGCTCTTCTTCCTCCCCTGCTGTCATATGAAACCCTGGGAAGGGCCCACCCGGAGCACCCTGCCTCTGCATCCCCACCATCCCCATCAACGATGCACAGAGGGAGAGCCGCTGTAAAAATCCAGTTGGACTAGGGGCAGCCCCAAACGGAAGCTCTAGGAAACCGTGGCTTTGGCATGGGAAACCTGGTACCTCCTCAAGAAAAAGTCACCTTAAGAAGGTGAGATCCCAGCACAGGAACCAGAGGTGCGGCTGCCACAGTGGCATATGGCACCGATGGGAAATGGCACCCGATACCCAACACGAGGGAGCCCGGCTGCGTGGCAGCTGCTCTTCCAAGCTTGCGACCAGATCGTGTTATTTGCCTTTAGAAAACAACGCCCTAAAAACACACATGATGTTCCTGCTGAGAGCAACAATTGCTGCGGATGGCTCTAACGTCACCACGGGTCTGATGATGAGAAACTTTCAAATCCCAGAAGCAAAGCCATAAAGATCATCTCCTGAAGATGCTCGTGTTTAGCTCCTGGGGGGGTGTCTGGCCACAGTTCAGCAGCCAGCGTGCCCGTGAACAGCGGACCCATTCATCCTGGCTCAGCGCAATCAGAGCTACGTGACAAACACATCTCTGGCTGGCAACAGGGGCCGTTACACACAGCGGCTGCACGAAAAGTGCCCCCGGTTTTCAGAGCGCGGGGGTCAGCTTCAGCTTGGATCGGGATAGTCAGGGTGGGGGGAAAAACCCTACCACAACGCACACTTACATTGGGAGAGGGCTCCAGCATGTTGTCTCCATGCCAGCCCGAGATGGGCACGAAGGGAACTGTGGCTGGGTTGTAGCCGATCTTCTTGATGTAGGCGCTGACCTCCTTGACGATCTCGTCGTAGCGTTTCTCGCTGTACGGGGGCTCTGTGGAATCCATCTTGTTGATGCCCACAATGAGCTGCTTCACCCCCAGGGTGTAAGCCAGCAGGGCGTGCTCGCGGGTCTGCCCGTTCTTGGAGATGCCGGCTTCAAATTCACCGACGCCGGCAGCAACGATCAAGACGGCGCAGTCAGCCTGGGAGGAGAGAGCTAATGAATTGCTTCTGCCCCCAGAGAGCACTGCTGCCGGGGACACCTCTGAGAGCTGCCGGTAAGTCCCAGACGAACACTACCCATGGCTTGGACAGACTCCCTGCCAGCTGCTACCCATAACCCTGCTGATTCACCTCAAAACCGACCCAATCGCGTTATTTCAGACTCGCTGACCGCGCATGGTTTTGCAACATGGGTTGGAAACCAGGGTGTGTCCCTCCAGGTTGCATGACTCTAATCAGGATCTTGACCCTCCGGGGATGCACAGACAAGGCCTTATCCAAAACTCTACTGAAGTCTTGCAATTAGTTTCTCTGGGTGACAGGTGAGACTCCAGCCATGGAAACTGTGTTCCCCAGATTACTTCTGTACCCAGAACCCACAGCAGAAGCTGCCTGGGTTTGACAGAAAGCCATGACCAGCCCAACTGGCATCCCAGTGGGAATCTCACTGGGCGTGCACTGAGGCTCACCCAGCACCCATCAACCTCAGAGAGATGCAGAAATGTCCTGCAGTGCAACGAGGGGAAACCAGCCTACCCTGAAAGGGAAGACCACTGAGTTTGGCAACATGTTGGGCTTTATGGGACAAAGCTGTTTCAAGAAAAAGGAAGGAGGAAAGATCCATGGAACCTCCTTTAGCCAATAAAGCCTTAAAGGATGGTTGGAAGTTTCTTGTATACCTCAGTTGGCTGAGGCTAAAATAATGTGGAGATACTCTCACATGAAGGCCTGTAGCTCAGAGCATCCCAACTCCCAGAGAGGACATACTCATCCCCAACTCCTCCAACTAGGGGAAATTGGGTGGAAAAACCACCTCTTTGTGCCCAAGGAGGCCCTTTGTCCCAGTTGCAGGACCATGGGGTGCTGGGTCCCCTGGTGTTACCCAGTCTCTGGTGTTGACCTTGCTCAACGTTCCTTGATGTCTGCTGTCTCAACTACCCACCTCCAAAAGGACTCTAACAGCACCTACGTGACCCTGGGCTTGTCAGCAAGTCTCAGCCTCCCGCCTCCAGCAGCCCTCTCACCCCCTGGCCACCATTTCTCACCTGGGAGGTCCCGGTGATCATGTTCTTGATGAAGTCTCTGTGGCCAGGTGCATCAATGATGGTGATGTAGTACTTGGTGGTCTCGAACTTCCACAGCGAGATGTCAATGGTGATGCCACGCTCACGCTCGGCCTTCAGCTTGTCCAGCACCCAGGCGTATTTGAAGGACCCCTTCCCCATCTGGCCAACACAAAGGCAAGAGCCGGTGAGAAATCCAAGCCCAGAGCACTGGTGCTTGGCAACACACCCTCAAGGGCACATCCCAAGCTCACACAGGCAGAGGGTCATGTTGCAAACATCGATAGCAAAGTTCCCTAAATTCAATGGCAGCCATGATCTATTTACTAATAAATACAAGTGAAAGGAGATATTGTTCTCAATGTGTTCCTCAACAGGATGGAGGAGAGGCGGGAAAAGATGCCAAGTCAATCTGTGAGTGGGGTGGGATGGGCAGGAGATGGAGCCAGTGACCCATGAGGGTCTCCTCCATAAAACACCAATGGTCCTGCACCGCTGCTACAGAGCTATACAGTGATGGTGGGAAGCTTCTTCTTGTTGATTTTAATCTATTAACCGAACCAGTGAGACAGCTGGTTAGTGGGAAAGGGCATTGCTGCATGAGCGAGCCCATAACTGACAGGGGTGTAGGAGGGGAATGGGTTAAAAGAAAATTAAATGCGAGATGGTTGCTATGAGCAGAATAGAAACGTGATTGATTTTTGCCACAGAGTGTGCAAATTCACGCGAAAAGCTACTGGGAGCTGCAGCCAGACCAACTGTTGTGGCCAAATGGCCAAAATCTCAGCCAATATTGTAACGCATAAAATCATGCTGGGGTGAGATTAGCTACAGTAAATCTCTCTGTCCTCTGATAAAGCACATTCCTTGGTAAAACCACAACGTCACTTCTGAACTGCTTTCTCCTTTGGGTCAGGGTCCTTTGATGTCGTGCCATCAGGGACAGCCGGACTTTCCCTCCAGCAGAGCTGGTGCTCCCAGTCTGAGCTGGGATCCTGCCAATGTGGAGATGGAGCAGGACAATACCAGCCCTTGCTGAGCCCACGGCGTGCCGGGGCAGCCAGGCTGAAGCAAAGGGTTAATGAGCATTCCTCATCTCGGCCTCAGATACAAGGGGCTTTTTAAGATGGAAAACGGAATTTAGGTCATTTGCAGATGATTTAATGGGCTCCTACCACAGGGGCAGAGCTGCCATACCCCTCTCCCATCCATCCATCCATCCTGGCGTTCCCCGCAACCGCGGTTTCTTCTGGAGTATCAATGAGTAACAAAAAAAAAAAAATCCCTTCTGGCCAATTGAAAATCACCGGTCCAGAGGGAAGCGCTGTGCAGCCAACGCTTCGGTGATGATCCTCGCCAAGAAGGCCAACGCAGCACCACATCTGACCCTGTCCTGCCCACACCGTGCCCGGGGGCTGCTCTGGCCCTGGCTCCCGCGCTCCAGCCCCATGCCTGGGCAGCACGAGGAATTAACGGTGCTGGCCCGTTTATGTAACCGCTGAGCTCTGCGATGACTTTGCAGCTTGCTCGGGAGGATTACAGTCAAAATCCTAAAGCCAGGGGTGAGTCTCCCCCTCCTCGGAGGGGACACCGGGTCGGAAGGGTGATGCCACATCCCCGCTGGGAGCTCTCGTGCCTGCAGTTGCGGGGAGGGGGGGTGTGGGGGGTGTGCGTGTGTGTGGAAAAATCCAGAATCAAATCTCTGCTCCTAAGCACATCCTCCTGGCATCAGGCTTAGTGAGGGGGCAGAGCAGGAGCTCGGAGGTTAACTCTTTCCAGCATGTATGTGGAACCCTTCTCTTGCCAGGGGAAAAGGGAGGGGGTCATTAGGGCGTGCTCATTTGCTGCTGGAAATGGCAGAGATGCACCGAGGAAGGGCGCGTTTTGTGCAGTGAATTAATCACGGGGAGTTCGGGGGCAGGGGCTCAATCAGCACATCCCGCAGCCCTTCACCCATCGACAGCCTGTTCCTTCACTTCTGGATGGGGAAACTGAGGCACAGAGCAGACCCCTGGCTCTCCCGTAGGAGCTGGGTGGGAATCAGCACCTTATCCCAGGCAACCACGTCCACGCACACAAACAGCGAGTCATCTCGTGT